CCAAAACTGGCGATACAGGCAATGGAGAACTGTTCTGTTCACAGATGAGAGTCGGTACTGCGTATCAACTGCAGATGGCAGAACAAGAATATGGCGACGATGTGGCCAGCGTTACTCAGACCAATGTGTTATGGAAAGAGACTCATAGGGAGGTGCAAGCATCGTGGTACGGGGTGGAATAGGCCTGAACAAGAGAGTGGGTCCTGTGGTGTTCCAGAACCTTGGTCCAGGGAGAGGAGGTGGCATCACAGCGGTGCGCTACATCGACCAAGCTCTCAGTCCCCACGTCATACCACATTTCGCAAGTCACCGGAACAACATTTTCCAGCATGATAACGCCCGGGCCCATACTGCCAGAGCTACACGGGAGTTCCTACTGCAGAACGGTGTCAACATTATGCAGTGGCCAGCCCTTAGTCCTGATATAAACCCAATTTAACATCTTTGGATGAAATTCAGAGGAGACTGAATGATGTCATACCAAGGCCGAACACAGCCGATTTATTGCGCCATGCCTTTCTCAGAGTGTGGTTCCAGGTGCCAATAGCCTTCATCAATCGATTGGTGCACTCCATGCATAGACGCTGTGCTGGAGTTATTGCCGCTCTTGGTGGTCACACTAGATCCTAAAGTCAAGAGCCTGAATGGACTGCAAACGTTCACGTAATGTCTTGATGTTATTCATTGATGTGTCAGGATATTGTACACAAAAAATGTTTTTGATCCGCTTATTATGTCCATTTCTGTAATGATTTGATTACAGTGCCTATCTAATTTTGAATTCGTACTGACGTTTTTTTGCTGCTGGGTATATATTGAATAAACAATTGAGCAAGGTTACAATGAATGATAGTGCAGACTTCTAATACAATACTATTGGGTCACAAATCCAAAGTATTAACTAAATGTCTCTATGTTACCGGAGTCTTGATTCTTGTCGATGTACTGATTGAAAATTGTTGACACTAATAGTCAATGTAGACGAGGCCTCGTGAGCGGTTGGTCTTGAAACGTCGATGTTTGCAGATAGATGAGCGTAAATCCAAAACAGTCCCCCAAAGTAGTGTCGAACTTCTCAGCAACCAATCCTTATATACCTATTACACAATCCTCGTATTCTCTAGCAGTAGCTACGCCTCTCTACGATCCTCCCAGAACTTTCCACAAGAACGCCGAAGACCGAAAGCAACAAACAATCAAAGGAAGGCAGCACCAGCTTACTCTCAACAGGTGAAATTACACAGCCCAAGTTCAAGATGCGAGTTGAAATCTCACCCAGCGCTTCAAACTTTTGTGACCATAATAACTAAAAGTTAATTGATGTGACATTTTAATTAACAAAAACACATCCTCATAACATCATCAAATCAATACAAAGATATCCAATCTAACTTGTCAGAAAGGTATAAGCCAGCAGAGAGTATCCAGGGTATGATCATCACATTCAATGCCGATGGCTTTTGATGTAATGTAAGATGACAGTACAAGGGCTAACTCCCATTATATACCTTTCTAGGGCAGTTCATTCTGGAAAAGGTCCTTGTATCCCTTTCCAGAGTATACTGTCTAAATCTAAAGAACACATATTATAATTATTAAAATATAGAGATAGACGTCATCACTTATTCCTCTTGCAGCTCATAAGAAAGCCTTACGTCATTAACAATGTATTGGCAAACACGCAACAAACTTTGTTGTATCAAAAAATGGTCGTTGCAAAGGTTTACATTTTTGTCGCGTATAAGTCTTCTGAGCAAACATTAACACAAAAATGTGTGCCGGCAGCCGTGTGCTTTATATAGCCAGTGTTCTTGAAGGTACTACACTATATAGTCAGGGAGGTGGAGAGTCTTCTGGAGTTAATAGAGCCCACCAGTGGTGCTGAAATCATTCCTACCCCGGATGCTTAGCTGTTTTTGTGTTTTTGGTAGCTTCACCATTGTGGAGGTGAGGTGTACATTAAAAGAATTTCCACCGTTTACTTTCTTACTGTAATCACTACTTACATATTATCCTGCCTTTGGAGTTTGTCCTGCTACTGTAATAGATCTGTATACCAGACTGCTTTGTTGTCTGTTGCTTCCACATCGAGTTTTTTAACGGGCTGATTCCTGGTTAAATTTAGTTTCAAGTTGGGAATCAATATTTTCAAACAACGTACCTGCCAGTTGGTATTCTTACCTGCGAGCTGGATTTTTTAAGCCACCTTTACATAATAAACATAAAGGAATTGTTGCTATAATAGGAGTCAGCAGTTACAACATTATTCCGTTTGATCAGAAGCTATGGTCTCCCATGACTGTGTAATACTAACACGACATATTCTCTTTCATGAATATTGGATCGTAAAAATTATATGAATGATAAAATCAATTGGTTAGCTTTTTTAGCAATATGTAGATTGTTGCTGCTCTAAAGAATATTGAAGTTGGGTTTTCTGTCAATATTCTTCAAAAAGTGTAGCAATTTATCTCTCTAAAAGATAGTTATGAAGTCTTCTTGAATGTCATCTTTCACAGACGTCATTGATTTTTCGATCGAGTTTCTTGAACAACGATATGAAGTTGTTTTGGGTGCAGTTGTGTTCCTGACATCGATTGATTTTTTGACTAATGAAAGAAAACTGTCTGAGTTCTTGGAATGTGTATCATAGCGATTCTCGAACAACAAACAAACATTTACAGGGCTGTGTAAAAGGTTTGACCAAGCAAAGCTGCGAGTTCCCTTGAGAGAGAGCCATGCTTGCCACGGTGACTTCACTGATGCACGTCATCGTGCCCCAATTGCGTAGACCGAAGCCCATGATGTCCATCACTGGATGGTCTGGTCAGACTCGATTATTTACAGACCGCCGCCATATAGCTTGAATATTGCAGGGGCGGCGTTAAACAACAATCAAACATCGTTACTCGGTATAATTGTAAGGATAGTTTTACGGTTTTTAGTGCATATATCGGAGGATAACAGTCACAAACGTTCTATAAAATCGCTCCACTCCTTAACCATTTGGGGAATCGTATTTTACAAAGCAGACGCCTACCACCACAGGATGATGAGCACCCGCGCAAGTCGGCTCTTTATTGCATTTGTCCTCTGAAGGTTGGTGTGTGAACATATATTGGTTATGAAAACACGCGCACACAGACTCACAAGTGTTGTGCCTTAATAGTGCTATGCAACGTTTCGGTCCGATTTTACGTTTTTGCAACAGTTAAAATTTACAAATTTGGAACTTAAAAATAAAAGGGAACTTGTGTTGAACAACTTGAACACATGTAAATGGATCGTGTTGGAATTCTCGTGACAATTCGCCACAACAAATTTCTTTCAACAAAAACGTTAACGGTTTTTTATTGTTTGTTTACAGATTTGGATAAAGACGTCTTTGTGGATAGGAAAGTTGCAGTGCAAGGTTTCATACAGATATTCTGATTTTGTCGAGAATAATCACAATCAGTTTTTAACTCTGAAATATTCCTCTGGCAAATTTGTTTAACAAATAACTTAGAAACTGTTTCTTGGATTGTTTTCAAATTTGGGGAACGACTTTTGTGTCTATGGGACAGGCGTCCCAAATAATCTTGTCATCAACTGTTTTCAAATATTTTGAACACACTCTATGTAGTTATATACATAGTTATGGAAATCATAATGCGATGTAATCTTTTAATTCAGTATGTGTATATTGTGAAAATGTATCACAGATCGATTGTTCTTTTTCTTTACTCTGGGTGTACCAGGGTACCTGCATTGATTATTCTACTTAAGTTCTACTTAATTAATTCTTAACCTACTCATATACTTAATGCCATTGCGCTTCCCCGCTAATTGCCAATTAGAACCGTTTCTGGGTTTTTTAGCAAACGATCAGAACATAATCTATATATCATTTAGAAGGTTCAACGTTTTCGTGACCCGCAGATTATGGATTGAGTGAGTGAGTGAGTTTAGATTTACGCCGCACTCAGCAATATTCCAGCTATATGGCGGCGGTCTGTAAATAATCGAGTCTGGACCAGACAATCCAGTGATCAACAACATGAATTATGGATTGAATCCCAGACCGAAATAATTCATATCAAAGCTACCCCTTCCTTCACAATTACTAGAAGAAAATCGTTTTAGTACTGTTGATCAGCCGTTGGCTGTCAGGGACGGGGCAATGAGTGAGTCAGGGACGGGGCAATGAGTGAGTCAGGGACGGGGCAATGAGTGAGTCAGGGACGGGGCAATGAGTGAGTCAGGGACGGGGCAATGAGTGAGCACTGCTCACATTTCTGGGCTTTGTGTTAGGTGTTTATCTTCCTACTATATCAAGATAATTATCAAATGTTCTACGTCATAACTCGGTTACCTGTCCAAGTGCACTGATATGACTAGAATTATGGAAACGCGGTGTTCAATAAGTCCAAATCTTTTCTTAAAGAAGTCTGTTCGTGTATATTAGTCCGTAAAGTTTCACCAAGAAGGCAGCCTTCGTGGAATACCAGGCCTCCCCGACATTCAGTAGCCTTGGTGTAAATTAACTTGTTTGAGAGGCACTAAGGAGGGATAACAGAATAGGGATGGACACCTTCTTTATTACAGTGAGAGCGACGTTTCGGTGTAGCTTCTAGCCCCGTTATCAAGCAGGTGATGAACAGAATGAGAACAGAGAGGCACATATACAAGTGCGAGGAGATGTTTGTACAGTACAATGAGTATTAGGACTGCAAAAGCATAGAGAAGCCAGTTAACAATTCCCTGCATGGATGGGCTCGAAATAAGAGCTAGCAAACATTCCATAAACCCAATACCTTTCAGCTGCCTTAACTGATGCAGACTGAAGGACCTGGGTACCCTGGGTACCACGTCACTACATCGGAAACAAGAAGTGTAACGGTCGATACAAGATTAACACAATGACCTTGTCACTTCCGATATATTGAAGTACTGTATATTGAATGCGCGGTCTCCGCAGCTCTTGAGGTGAACGTTCAGAAACTCCAGGATGACAGGAAATGCCTCGTACGCAATTGTATCCGAGAGAAGCGGTTATCGATTGCGAATTGATTATGCTCTTGGCTTAAGGGTGTTCTTCGGTGTTTGGCGACAGAACGCCAGTGCGGTGACAGTGAAACTGGTCGTTCATTAACATTCATCATGTCATTGGCATTCGCAATCAGTGTAAGTACATTCTGTGTCGATTGTATGAAATCCGTACATATATCGTTTGTTTCTAATTTTGGATGTTAATATTACCACTTACTATAAACCTGAAACAGAACATATGGTCATTAGTTGTCTACTAGAATTTTGGTTCAACGAAAATATTAATGTATAAATGATTTTATATTGACATAGTAAATTATGACAGTTACCGGTTGAAATATATTATCGTATGTATGAATTTAGTTTGTTTCATAATTATTCGTCGCAGTTGTTAAGCCTGTAAGCAGAGCAATACGAGAGATGAAATTTAAATGATTCCTTAAACTGTTATTGAACTTTTGTTTTATTGGGGTTTTATGCTGCTTCAATTGAGTTATTTTTGCTATTTTCATTATACCGTTCATTTGCTACTACCGTCTGAAAACATGACAAGAACACGACCTTTCCACGACAATTGGCATGTACATGCGTAAAGGTGTTTTGATTAAAGAGCTTCTTGCGAATGAGTATTGTATTAGATCAATAATCACGCGAAATATCAATTATCAGGAAGTTACTTGTCATTGATTTCTTCCCATATAGATGTTTGTCAATGATTTTCAGATACTGACTTTCTTGACTGTCACGGCTTGCTCAGCTGGTGAGTATCCCAGTATATTTGTAACGCATGACTTATGAAGTGGAGATGTTATCTTGATCTTTCCTAGCAGTCTTTATCTTAACAGTTACTTCATCAATCATCTGTCTGGTCGTCCATGCAGGTAGCAAAGGTACTGAAAGTCCCCATGGTCCTGGTATGGTGATCTACCATAAGTTGTTAGCGATCTATAGCCTGTTTTAGTTGTAATTGTGCTATTCTAGTTGTTTTACTGTCCTTCGTCGACAGGTTATTATAATATACAGATACTGAACCACAAAAGAAATGTCGCACCGATAGCGGTTTTTTAAAGCACACACTTTATTTCACTCTAATTAACAATCAGAAGGGAGGATTGAGTTCAAACCTGACAGTTATGGTTAACACATTTTGGGGGATCACATTTAGAGTTCACACAAACAAAATCACCAAAAATGGTACCATTAAGATACCCCAAAGTCAGTATTGTGTATGGCCTGTACGTGCATCGACGAATCGTCTGTAGATGGAATGAATAAGCCGGTTGATGAAGGCCATAGGCACTTGGGTCCATACTCTGTGAAATGTCTGATCGAGTCCAGCAGCGGTTGTCGGCCTTGGGTGTAGGTCATTCAGTCTTTGAATCTCGTCCCAAAGACTGAGTGCAGGCTATTGTAGGGTTTGGATGCCATGTTGTCTTATGAAGTCAAATGTTACTCTGGCATTGTGGGCACGAGCGTTGTCTTGCTGGAAGATGTGATTTCTGTAACGCCCAAAATGTGGTACAACCTGGGGTTTTATGACTTGGTCATTATAGCGAGCAGCTGTCACGTCATTCCCTCATCCTGGACCGAGATTCTCGAACACCACGGTGCAAACTATCTGGTTCAGATCAATTGCAACCCACACCATGATGCTTGGACCACCCACGAGTCTCTTTCAACAGTACACTCATTGGAAAACAGTTCCCCACGCCTTCACCATACTCTCACTCTGCCATCGACTGTCGAAACACAATATCGGCTTTCATGAGAAAGAAACACAGTTCTCCATTGTCGATAACGCCAATTTCGATGCAGTTACCCATTGCAGTCGGTTTGGGCGGTGATGAGCGGTGAGGACAGGACTACGATATGGTCTGTGACAGCAGGTTTCTTCCGCGCAAACGTCGACGCACTGTATCGGCACTGATGGGTCTGTTGTGAGTCCCAATGGTTGTGATGTTACTGAAGGTCGCCCACTGCGTGGACGGTCTTGGATGCTGTTAGTGACCTGATACCACTCCTGCAGTTGGTAGATTGTCCTAACATGAACATTAAAATGATTGGATACCCTCAGTGCAGTCTGACCAACTTGCAATCGTCCAAAGACTTGGTTCCTCTGATCTCTCGTAAGTCGTGCCATGGCGATTGTGTCAAAACAAAAATGATTTTAAGCGAGTTTGAGACTCGCTTTCACTGGTAGGGTTGTCACGATATGCACGTGCCTTTTCATTTTCACGAATGTCATACGGAACCTTTACCACGATTGCCTTTTTAGGTGCGTTTGGTCGATATGCTTTTCCATCAGAAAACACACTGTTGTTGGTAATAACTGTCAATTTGGATTTAAAAACCATGTTAACAAAACGATACAATCATAATAAAAAAGTTTTGTAAGAACAAAAATTTTGCGAAAAGCGATGTTTCTTTTGTGGTTCAGTATATATTCCATTTCAATGTCAAATATGTTCTCGTCACGATATGGCTGAAATATTGCCGATGTGACGTTAAATATTAACTCACTCACTCACTCTGTCTGGTCTTTGGTTTAAAGATTTAGAATTTAGGGATGGTGCCCTGTTCCTGAGTGAGTGTGTTGAGCATGATTTGAGATATGTCACGCATGCCAGCTTTTGTAACGTGTGAGGAAAGCCGAACGTGACATAGGATTGTTACCACTGATCATGATGACGATGGCTGTTGACTTTGTCGAGACAGCCAAAAATAACAAACACTCACACTCACCGACACACACTCAAGAAGATAGTACAACTAAAGACGAATTTAAGAGGAGCTATTTCAAGACAAAGAGTAGAATTATTATTCGGCTATCAAGACAATATTCACGTAGAATAACAATATGATTCGGAACTTCGTATCACGATGACACCATCTTGTTGGTGCAGAGTTTCAAGAAACAAACGTATTAGTGTGAGAGATATGACCCGGATAAACACACTACTATAAACGGAGTCAAACCTGTTGCCATGCAAATAGATTGCTATTTTCAAATTTCAAAATAGAAAAAGGCGCCACTTCAGCCCAAGTAGATCTTGTATTCAACCTCTTCCACGTGCAGGTGGACACTACGAGGGGCATTCAAAAGGTAGTCGGCCTCACCTAGAAAATGATACAAGTGCAGCTGTTTTTATGTTTTATTTTTGTACATATTATCTGTCAACCTCAAGCAAATTGTACCCGTGAGGGTCCGGGTTAGAATATTGATCTTCAGTAACCCATGCTTGTCGTAGGAGGCGACTAACGGGATCGGGTGGTCAGGCTCGCTGACTTGGTTGACACGTCATCGGTTCCCAATTGCGCAGATCGATGCTCATGCTGTTGATCACTGGGTTGTCATTTTGCGTGTTTGAGATAGGTAAAAGTCCACTAGAATCAAACTTAGATATTAAAGTGCCTACAAAAAGCAATTTGAAACTAACATTACTTGTTTAAGTGACTTCCCTCTTCATCTGATGTTTGATAGGCATATAGAAGTTGGTAGGGTAATACAAACGTATATATAGTATGTACATGAAATCTTAGCCGTCAACATTAGCAATTGGCCTAGACGAAAATTAATGGACGCTATCCACATCAAACATTCCAAACCGGAGTTGAATAGGGACCAGGGTGTCTTCTTTCGAAATGCTTGGTGCATTAACTAATTTCCCTCCAACAATGGCGTTTACCAAAACATGCTGTACATCCCATCGCCTAATGTCTATTATTGTACATCTCAATCACCTAATCTCTATCACTGTATATCCGTTACTGGCTTCCATCTGTGGTCATTCACTCTATGTAAACATGTTGTACAAACAGTATGTATACCCTATTTAACTTAATCCCCTCACCAATCTGTTGTAATAACAACTCTGTGGCTTCCTGTACATACTATACATACCTCTGTAACTATTCACTGTCATTCACCTGATGAAGGGGCAAGTATTAGCCCAGAAACGTCGTGTGTAAATAATACAGAAGTTGCACATCCATATCAAGTGTGTTGTATTCCCCCTTCATGTTTACTGAAAGAGCTTGTTCTGGGGACACTACCTACCCCCCCTTTCAGGTGACGTAATCATAAGGACATAACTTATTCTAATGTTTTCACTTATTCATACATGATGCCAATGATTCAGACAAAATACTGAAAGTGTCAGCTCTCAATATATTGTAAACGGTGCCAGCTTGAATAACTGCCCACAATGTGTTTGAAAGATTAAAATGGGTGTGTCCTTAAAAACAGCCCCAGTCTAAATATAACAAAGCAATCCAAATCTTTGAATGTTGATTGATTATGACGGGTAGTCATCCAATACATCCAAAACATATTTTATATGATATTATCTGAAAGCATACCATCACACAAAAAGTACCAAATGACAGATTGTGTTTCATTTTCTTCTTTTTTAAAAGAAACATTATACCCCAATGTGTTGTGATGACTAATATCTCGTTTACCACATGATAAACATGTGAAATTGTGGATATGGATTTTCTAATGATTCCTTCGAAATAAAGTGGAAGTTCATTGAGAATATAGTTAGGCCGACTATTTTTAAAACGCCCCTCATACTAGTGGGGCAGGATCCGCTCAACTTTTGACCAAAAAAACTATGTGATAATAAGTTCCTCAAAATTTGTATTGTGATTTCTTTGATTCCTTCATTCATCTTTTGTTCTGGATTCCAAGGCTACATAGAAATCCGTAAAAGAGTAGGTATTGCTTGGTCCAGCAAATATACCTCCAAACTCCTGTCTCAAAGATTAACCATATTCCTTAATACTATTAAGGATGGACTTTCTCTGTTTTCACAGAGAGTATTCGAGACAGGCGGAATTAATGCCATGTGGATTCTTAAAACCAAAAAAATTTACAATACATGTATATATGACGTGGCACAGATATGAAGCGGCCATTCGAAAAAATGCAACATTGATTGCTCCAAATGCCACATGAAATCATCAGCATCCACACTGTTCTGCATCGGGAAGCTGTCACAGCCGTCAGCATCCACACTGTCCTGCATCGGGAAGCTGTCACAGCCGTCAGCATCTACACTGTTCTGCATCGGGAAGCTGTCACAGCCGTCAGCATCCACACTGTCCTGCATCGGGAAGCTGTCACATCAGCAGCTGTCACAGCCGTCAGCCATAATGTCCTGCATCGGGAAGCTGTCACAGCCGTCAGCATCCACACTGTCCTGCATCGGGAAGCTGTCACAGCCATCAGCATCCATACTGTCCTGCATCGGGAAGCTGTCACAGCCGTCAGCATCTACACTGTCCTGCATCGGGAAGCTGTCACAGCCGTCAGCATCTACACTGTCCTGCATCGGGAAGCTGTCACAGCCGTCAGCATCCATACTGTCCTGCATCGGGAAGCTGTCACAGCCGTCAGCATACTGTCCTGCATCGGGAAGCTGTCACAGCGCGTCATCGGGAAGATCAGCATCCACACTGTCCTGCATCGGGGAAGCTGAGCCGTCAGCATCTGTCACTGTATCTGTATCGGGAAGCTGTCACATGCATTCAGCATCCAAGCTGTCCTGCAGCCGGAAGCTGTCACAGCCTTGGTATGACTTATTGCTTGTATTTACGCGTGATACACGAAGGAGATGACAAGAACTATGCAGGCAATAATAATTACATAATATTGTTTTAAAATTCTCTTTTATGTATATAGGTCGCTTCAGTAGCTCTGGAATGAAGAAGAAAAATATTATCACTCATAACAGTCAAATACTGTTTTTTACTGAAGTTGCAATCACGACTAACTACAGAGCTTTTAACAACGACTTTTTAAAATCCCATGTTTAGCAAGACCGCTTTCATCCCAATCAAAGGTAGAAAGTTGTTGTCTTGATTAATTGAACAAGAGCGTATTGAACCAAACACGCCTGGATGTGTTGCGCTTTCATCCCGAGGGAGTTTCCACGACATGGAACCTCAGTGTCACAACACACGAGATCAATGGTTTCTGAAGGTAGTTCTTCCTTGGATGACTAGTTTGTGATACACACTCGTGATTTCAAACGCCATACAGTTTTATGTAAGATTTATTTGTGGTTGGCGAAAACAGGCCGCCGGCTGGATATAAGTTCCCTCAAGCATAACTGATAAAATGTTTACATGAGTGCATACCACGTGACATTTTCAAAGTAAAAGTCAAATGAGTCCGTTTCTCTTTCGACGGCAGATAACTGAAGTTATTTGATGTGGTAGACGAAGTTCCCACAGACACTGGCTGCCTGACGTAGTCCCAAGTGCCATGAGACTTTCAATGAAAGAATGTGTTTCTGTAATAATTTTTGTTTATTTGTCGGTGCCTTGCCTACTTGTTACCTATCAAGATAATGCCCAATCAGTGTAGAATTAGAAAGTTGAAATAAATGTTTTAAAGTTATAACATTATTAAATTTAAGGTAAACACAGGTGAATCAATCAGAGAAAAACAGCACAGCAGAAAATATAAATTAAAATACATATATTATCACAAAACATGCAGTCACAGGGAATAATATTATCTCCTGATATCGGTGATGATGTGGCACGATTATCAGCATACTTTGTACCTGGGTATGGGACACAATGCAATTTGTGTATCTTGACATACACCACACATCGGGTGTCAAAACTATCTGTCGGTAATGGCCAGTGACCGTGTGGACAGTTACCATTCATGAGCTCCAGCTCCAACCATGTTTCTCATCTTGATCGACCGGGCTGCCTCCTAGGAGACTCCTGATGATACCTCCAATGACTTGATCCAGCTGTTCAAGTTTGTCAACATATCTACCTTTCATTTCCCACGAGGTGTATGCTGGATGAAGGTACCTTCATTGACATTTGCATTATCTGTAACATGTTCCCTCAATTTAACCACGTCTATACGAACCCATAGTTTTTTGCTTGTATTTTGAGGCGTGTTCTGGTCAAACCGATCTACCCCGCCCATATAATCCTGTATGTGTGATGGGCTGGGACCGATGTTCTGTGAGCCGTCCTACCTCCACCTGGCGGCAAAACCATTTTCTTGGGGAGGGTGTGCAGTGCTTGGGTAGTAGACAGACTTGTTATCCTCCTACATGTTAGCACCTTAGTCCCGACAAGCTCACAAGTCGACGGTCCCAATCTGCACACAATTTGCCTCTTTACATGAAGGGAGATCTACGACGGGGTAATAGTTCCAGCGATATGTGCCACACAGGTGCGTTTTTTTTCTGTAACAGATAGTCCACCAGAACAGCTCTGGTATAATTCTAAAGACAATTATTGATGAAGAAAATTACTCCACAACTATATATAGTTATCACACAATAAATAGAACTTGTTGACGTTGATAAGTATTTACCCTTGTGGAGATATCGAGGACTTTGTTACTCAAGATGTTTACATCTTATTTTTTCATCGAACATGTATACTCCCAGGCGCCGAGAAATAATGTAGTCAGTTGTCATGAATGATTAAGTGAATACGAGCATCTTCACAGGCTTCATCATGATCACACAGATGTAGGCAACAATACCAAATCAGTGACATGTTTCAGGTCAATAATGCCAATGAAACCCTGATCTTCAGTGCATGCAACCTGATCGAGGATTGATCTCTCCTTCGGGAATATGGAAACATAAATGCGGACGGATTTCATAGGTTTCCACATCCAATGGAATCAATTATCAATTATCATTTATTCATATACATCTGAATATGAACGACCACGTCTGTATGTAACACTCCATGCGAAGTTGACAATGGGTTTGCTTACAATCTATAGTTCGGTAGTTAGAATTGATCTTCTACAGCCCATACTTGTAATGAGACAACTAACGGGGTCGGGTGATCAGGCTCGCTGACTTTGTTGACATATATCATTGCATCTCAGTTACGTAAATGGATGCTCATGACGTTTATCTATGGACGTTCTGGTCAAGACTCGATTATTTACAGACCGACGCTATATAGAGTCCGACGTTACATAAACTACCAACAACGTTAGGTAGTTGGCACTTTCTCTGAAATTTAGTTGCATTCAATGGTACAACAACCCTGGGCTATGCTAGGTACCCGAATAGAGCAGGCCCGGATTCACAGTGCTGTCTTGGTATAAAAAGGTGCCAATGGTACATGTAAATCCAGCCGGGGTTCATGTTCGATTCCTGGTTGTACGAAGTGCAATTCTAGAGGCTGTTTAGTCGACGGACCTCTATGTATGCTTCCCGTGCCAAAGCGTCGTCATTGTCCCCTTGACTCCCATGCTATGATGGTGTAGCAGGCCCGATTTCTTTTCGACTTCAACAACTTAATGTCACCTGAGGCATGTATAATGACCAAGCATCCATACCTTTAGGGTACACGATCGGATATGAACGGGACGACCCGTTGCAATCACCCGTCCTCTGATAATATTTTCAGCCGGTCTGGAGGAATGATGGCGATAGTGATCATAATAGTGAGTTCGCAAGATATGGAGTGAGTGAGTGAGTTTAGTTTAACACCGCTTTGAGCAATATTACAGCAATATCACTGCGGGGGACACCAGAAATGGGCGCAAGATATTGATGAAATATAGGTGAGTATAGGTGAGTATAGTGCAAGGAATGTGAATGCCAAAGATCTGGTTGGGTTATATGTAGTGATATTTTTATGGCTGTCGAGGTATGGTTTGTTTGTTTTTTAATTCAGGTAAATGACAGCGGCCTGTACATAATCACCAAACCAGTGGTAGATGTTATCAGCACCGACCATGTCTCCGGGCACTGTGCTTGTGCGCTTGATCCATTTTTTTGTCTCATACAACATAAAAATCAGGTAATATAATTGCGCATTGTAGAAATATATATTATCACAAACATTATCACAATGCATTCTTTCCACAGAATATATGGATCACCGCGGACGAGAGTTTCTACTGGGATTTCCGCTCTGGCCCAACGTGTCTCAAGGTGGCTCAATTAAACTGCATGTGCGAGGACCGAAATTCACAAATATTACCACGGAAATTCTTGGATCTGGGGAGATTTACAACTATACCGTTGGGTTTTCAGAAACTCTCACAATCAACCTGTCAACAAATGTTGAGTACAATGGCACAGAAACACCCAATAATAATAGTGTCCGAGTTCTGAGCACTGATGAGGTATATGTGTATGTCATACGAGGGGTTTCCGGAGGTTATTTCGCAGTTCCAAAACTTAACTGGACCAAAGAATTCTACATCGTGTCCTACCCTCCATCAGATGGTGGATACTCCTACTTTGCTATCATAGGATATGAAGACGCTAACGTGGAGATTACATTTAGGAAGGACGTAAACTTTGGGTCCATCTTAATATCTCCACACGTACCAATACGCGTAAGAATCTTGCCGATGCAAATCTGGAGTATATACTCCTCCCAGGATTTGACAGGAACGTACATTAAAAGCCAGAAGCCAATATCTGTTCTCGCTGGTACAACTTTTCCAGGAGCTCCACATGGGGGCAAATTTGTTGAAGAGATGCTACTACCTATAGCCTTCTTTGGGAGCAACTATATTATTCCCACAATTTCTGGGGATGATGCAGTCCTGAGAATTGTCGCATCAGAAAATAACACGGTGATATACGCCGAGGGTGATCTGTACTCTTATATGGGAGCTGGTGACTACGTGGATATAGTCACAGACGACGAGGATGTGCACTGCCTTAAAAGCACACGTCCCATCCAGGTAGTGTTGATAGGAAAGCGAGCAAATGTGAGCTCTTACAGTGTGGATGGCTTCTTAGGAGACCCGATCATGGCAGTCGTACCTGCTGTTGAACGCTTTCAGAATCATGACAAAATTGATGTATTTACTGAAGCTGGCGATGGACTCATTAGACAACTGCTGTTTTTCTTTCAAAATGACAGTGACATCGAGATTGGAGGAACTGCCGAGTCTTTCTTTGAATATTCCGATTGCTGTAACCATGTAATATCGTACTTGGTGGATAGTCAACAAACAGTGTTGCCCATGCCACAGGGCTTCTCTGTCGGGGTCATGCAGCTGGCGACTTCCGGCAGCAAGGGATATGGTCTGACGATGGGGGTCTCCTTGGGTGAGTTAATATTGTGAGCTATCGACATGCATAACTATACTGTATTTTAATGACTGAACGAATCAAATGCTGATATAAATCATTGAAGCTCTGTTCGTGCAACAATGGAATGAGGTAAAAATAAAGCATATGAAAATATATCAATACGGTAGGATATTTTGCAGTATGTGGAGTAGCATTCAAATCGGACACTTCATTAATTCTCTACGTGTTTGGTTTGTACATCTGTTGTTTTTCAGACCCTTCATTTTGTCCGACGAAGTATGGATTCACGTACCTCAACACATCAGGCCTATGTGTGAAGGCGTATACGACACCCACCACGTGGACTGAGGCCCGTGCGTTATGTCGGGAAGACAGGTTACGTCTCGTTACGCTTGACACACAGGCCAAGATCAACGGTATCAAGCACTTTCTGAAGGACCAGCTTAACAGTATGTATCCTGATGTGAGACAGGTATGTTTAGGATCCTTACATAGAGCAGCCATACTACTACAACTGTATCTACCACAATGAATAATAATTAAATGAGTATCAACCAAGCGGAGTGCCATGTCAAATCAGCACAAACTGAGAAGAGAAGGCTTTTTGAACGACTACTGAACCGAGCTTATGTATTCTTATGTTGACCGTCCTTCGCTTTTATGAAGTCAACTGGCCCGAAATATGTCACAGAAGGATTTCTGTTTGCTGCTCAGGACCTGTCACTTCCCACTCGTAACGATCAATGTGTCATTTAACATAAAAATGAAAATATGAATTGCAGATTATAAAATGAAAGAGTGTCCAACACCTTTATACTGAATGTCCAGCGTTGGTACAAACACAGTATATTTAGCGACATGAGGAATCTTTATAACATTCAACCCCATGCTTTTTAATTTTTAACACGGTGGACCATCCATTGTACTCCCAGAATACGTAGACGGCATCATGGAAAGGGAGAATTATACCAATGTTTGGGATAGGCCCGTATACAGCTTGAGACGTATCCAAGTTAACAAACCTGACCATGTTCTTTTCTGTCCCGTTTAACAGCATTGTGACTGACAGGGACAGAAACATTATGGCAAAATATTCGCACCTTGCTCTTGGCATGTCACTCTTGCATCCAAAGTACGAAGTTGTCTGACTGCCTATTGTTTTGGGTGCCTTGGGTTTGGTACCTCCCAATCTCTTGACTTACATGTACATTTGGAAAGTTGTTTGCTTCGAGCCCTTGTGACACACTAGGTGATGCGAAAGGCTGAATTGTTGAAGTCCTCACTATCTCCGAAAGCTTCTTGTAATATATTGATTAGAAGTCCAATTCGTCGTTTTGAACAAGAGTCATCAGAAGATGACAAATCCCCCCGGCCTCCACAAATATGAAAGAGCAAATCATCTGACAGTTACTTATAGTTGAACTTGATTGTTTTAGACTAAGTCCTAAACGTTTCCATGGAAACCAAGAAAAATAATAATGACAAAAATCTGTAAACAGCAAAAGGCACCACTTTAGGTTCTGTTTGATATATCTGCCAAGTGTTGTTGAAATATATTAAACGGTTTTCCAGTTGTGCTCCGGAAACGAAACCCACCACTCCCTTTTGAGACTAAATCCAAAACGTTTCTATGGAAACAAATAAAAATAAAAATGACAAAAATCTGCAAAAAGGAAAAGGCACCACTTTAGGTTCTGTTTGATATATCTACCAAATGTTTTTTGAAAAATATTGAACGGTTTTCGAGTTATGCTCCGGAAACAAAATGATTACGGACGGACGGACAAGGCGTCGACTATATCCCCCGCATTACATGCCGGGTGGATAAAAAGGGGCAAGGTACCCCCAGCTGATGATGTGCCATGACCACCCGAAGCCCCTTTACTGCATTCTGTAAATGATACTAGGGCTACTTGAATGGCACAAGACTCCAAGCAAGAGAGGGACATACAAAAATCATATGACGTGTCTGTGGATTAGTTTTCTCCTCAGTTTGATTCCATTTCCCCGGGGACTACACCATTCGTTAATCACAGGGTAACTGGCTATTCGTTTATCGTTTTAGGACCCGTTTTTCATGCCTCTCAGATTATTGTTTCTAATTAAGGTCACAAAAATTACTTGAAAACTAATTTGTGGCAGCACTCGATCTTTGGGATACAGGAATGGCCTAACAACATTTAGTCCAGTAAAATTAGTGGAAAAATATCACTGAACCTCAAAAAAATTGGTACAGAAATGGTTTTGTGTTTATATCATTTACAATAGTTCTGTAAACAATCCATAAAAAGTCCTCCCTTGGATGCTGATGCCAAGTGGCTTTTTTAGGGCAATAACTATGAAACATGGAATTTTTCAATTATTTTTAAAAAATCTGAAAATAAGTCCAGAAAATGGTATAAGATCTTGCAAAACATACAACTGAAGCGTACAAAATAGTAAATAAAGAAAATTAGGGCTGATAAAAAATTATGACATGAGGGTTGAACTTGGATTTTGGACACTCCAGCACACTGAAAACAAGTAAATGAGAGTTATCTCCCCTTTGTTTACAATAGATTGAAGTAGCAGAATGGACAGGAAAGGTTATATCTTTAATAAAACTCTAACTAGATGAGGCTATAGTTAGCCAAATAGAAAAAGGATTCAAAAGACAGCTTAAAGCTACAATTAAAAGAGATGAGGAGGAGGACCGAGGTGATTTTGCTCCATAATTAGCCCACAGAACTATATGCACTGCGGTCGTGCACGACTACGTACTTTGGTGATAAATGGGACATTCTGTTTCAAGATTAGCAGAACTTGAAGAAACATATGACAGAATGATAGATTAGGAAAATATGATACCATTTATATTTTCTATGCAATTAATTTTAAAACAATTTCAAAAGGTGATTGAATGATAAGTTTGTTCTCTTTTATCTTTAACTGGCAACTACCTATTGTTATGTGAGCAGAGTGAGTGAGTATGTTTCTACGCCGCTTATTCCAGCAATATCACGGCCGGGGACAATAGAAATGGGCTTCACACATTGTACCATGTGGGAAATCGAACTCGGGTCTTTGGCATGACGAGCGAACGCTTTAACCACTAGGCCACCGCCCCCCTTATGTGAGCAGAATATTTATAGTATAACTGGTATTTTTTTTTTTCTGATATAAAATCTTCATGAAAACACTTGACACTGATTCACATAAATTAGATATATAACATATCTTTACTGAAAAACATGTTTTTCTTAAAATTGAAAAATCATTAACTTAGGCTCTTTGTAGGGAGTGAGTTTAGTTTTACGCCGCACTCAGCAATATTCCAGCTATGGCGGCGGTCTGTATATAATCAAGTCTGGATCAGACAATCCAGTGATCAACAGCATGAGCATCGATCTACGCAAATGGGATACGATGACATGTGTCAACCAAGTCAGTGAGTCTGACCACCCGATCCCATTAGTCGCCTCATACGACAAGCATGGGTTACTGAAGATCAATTCTAAACTGGATCTTCACGGGTGCTGGGCTGCTTGATCAAAGCTCTAGAAAGGTTTTGAAAACAATTTTTTTAACTTTTTCACCCCCAAATAGGATTTCGGATAACATTATTTGACTTTTCGAATTCAATTTTGGTAGTACCTTGTGTAAAATATATGTAAAAACGTAAATCTGTGTCTCAATATGAGATTTAAAAAATTATTTACTGTAGATTTCAATTTTTAATTTTTCACCCCCAAATATAGGACTTAGCTTCATATTTCAACGGAGGACTTTTTAATACTCATTAGTTATAACTTAAACATGTTGAAAACACTCAAATCATTTCTGTACCAATTATTTGGAGGTTTTGTCACATTTTGACTGGACTAATTGGATGACGTTCAGTTTAGAGTATGTCATGGTGAAGCGTCATAATCAGTGTGACATATTTGAAGCGATATATAATAATATCTAAAAAAGTATAATATTGAAGTTAATGTAATTTCTCCACAGATCACACGTTTTCTATTGGGCTGCACACATTCTCGGTGTTGTTTGATTTGAGCATGTACAACTGGATCGACGGGGGATCTCTTGGAAATGCTCTGGACTGGCTGCCGCAACAACCGGACAACATCAGCTCGTGTGTCCAGTTGGCCTCGAGGAACAGTAAAGTCGGGTGGCAGTCCACACATTGCGACGCTACATCCGGCTACATCTGCGAGGTGGTGCTAGCGCAGAAACAAGACGTTCAGCTGTTTTCTGGAGAATGCCAATGTACATACACAATATTGGTATTATTTTACCACTGACCGCTGTAGTAATCGGCGACTATATTCCGTCCACAACAATTCATGCTTGTTTTAGGAAGCGAGTGAGTGAGTTTATTTTAGGCCGCTTTTAGCCAGAAATGGGCCTCGCGAACCCGGGTGTTCGTCTCGACAAGCGAACGTTTTCACCACTAGGCTACTCCACCGCCCCTGTTGTAGGACGTGACCAAATGGATCTGGTCAGGCTGGATTACGTCAACAATGGCGTGTAATCGTTAATTCGTTATACCAATTGAATCTCAGTTCAAAATGATCAGTCGTTTAGTGATCTACCTTGGGTTGCTGGATCTATAGCCCGTTGTTATATTGTCCTGTCCTAAATAGTGACATTCTTAACTCACACTCACTTCTTGTTTTAAATCTCAAACTGTGATATTCTAGTTGTGTTAATGCCCTTTGCCGGCAGATTTTATAATGTAACATTATCAATTATCATTGCATGACTTGTTCAGGTCGAAATATGACTGAAATATTGCCGATGTGACTAAAAATCTCACTCAAAATGATTCGAAATGGCCAGAAAATGTTGTTTTGTGCACATTGGTCATTCACTCGTTGACAGTTACCTCTTCTATGCTAATATTCAACTCTGCTCATGTCAGATACAATCACCTAAATGCAGTATGTCAATCTCAATGTTATCAGACTCCCACCCAGGATGTCCTACGGCTGACGGTTACACCTACATCTACGAGGCCGAGCTCTGTGTCAAGCACCACCTTCAGCCACAGTCGTGGGTCAACGCTGCTGTCGCATGTCGTGCTGATGGAGGCCGTCTCGTCACCGTGGACAGTGACACGAAACAATATTATCTGCACAGAGTATATCGGCATATCTGTGAGTTGAATATTTCATTGTGCAGTACATAAAATAGATATTATACAAAGTATTTTATAAGGAGCTGATTTCCAAATATGAGTCCTTCACGTTGCCAGGACAGACACCTATGATCGCTGGTTTGAATTCCGGTCCTGGTTTTAGGTGTCTCAGCACTTTACCCGTGCTCTCGGACCCACCTGCTAATGTTTAAGACCTTCATCATATGGGCTGTTACGCCATGAACTGATTACATGGTTTTGAATAAGTAGCGTTCAACCAAACTGACAGCCCATGAGTGAGTGGATGAGTTTAGTTTTACGCCGCTTTTAGCAATATTCCAGCAATATCACGGCGGGGGCACCATAAATGGGCTTCACATACTGTACCCATGTGGGGAATCGAGCCCGGATCTTCGGCGTGACGATCGAACGCTTTAACCACTAGGCTATTCCACTGCCCGACAGTCCATGACGTCACTGAAGTGAAATATAGTTATTAAACTCACTTATACTTTAACATTATGCTACGACCTATTTGTGGACAGGTAGCAAAAGTACTGTAAGTCCCCATGGACCCTAGTACCTTCGTGGTGATGTACCTTCAGTTGTTGGTGATCTATAGCCCGTTTTTATTTTGTGCTGTCTATACTGATTTAATTTTATGATACCGTACTAGTTTTAAATTTATATCTGTGATGCTCTAGTAATTTTACTGTCCTTCGATGACAGGTTTTTATGTTCTAAATTTATTGATTTTAATATTGATATAAATTAACTTGTTCTCGTCACGATATGGCTGAAATATTGCCGATGTGACGTTAAATATTAACTCACTCACCTATTTGTGGAATATGATTGTTTAATTTGTGAGTAGTTGTATGTAAATAGTGTAGGGGACTTGTTTGACACCTTTCAAATTGGGTTGGATGTTCTACTGCACAATGCTTAGGTCCAAATTTATACTGTTGGACTAAAAACATGAAACTCCTAATAATGTAGACTCGGTTATATATTGCCACTGAACAGTAACACAAACATCTGTTTATTCTAGCACCAAACTACTATATAGGCAGCTCCTGGCGTAACTTGACCACTGGGCAGTGGGTGTGGACTAACTGCTCCTCACTGACCTACAACAACTGGGACTTGGGACAACCCCAGGACAAGAACGGACATTGTGCTGTGACCAATCCCAGTGGTTCTTGGTACAATGTCCAGTGTAACGAAGTGATGCCATATATATGTGAAAGATCTCTGACAACGTATGCGGGGAAGGACATTGGTGGTCAAGCCGATAGGACATGCGAAGGTAACATTGTAAAGAGCAATATCTACATGGCAATCATATTTAAGTGCACAGTCGATGCCGCATGTGGATTCCACATTAGAACAGATCTCCAGCAATCCATGAATGTCTCAATCAGAGACATCAGGTAATGAGACGCCATCAGTTGTTTGTGTCAGGTCTAACGACGTGGGTCGGTATTCATAATACACCTGGATTGTCCAATACAGTTTTGACGCCAGTCTTATAGCTGGAATACTGCAGAATACTGCCCATGGCAACCACTTTCAAATAATTTCTTATGTGGTATAGGCAAATATTCATAAGTCCATGATGTATGTCTTACTGATACTCGGACAACTGATTGTATGTAGTTCGTGGCTGGACCTGCTCTGAGGCCTGCCGTTACAATTTGTATCTCTTTAAGATAGCATACAAGTAGCTGCTTGTCCATTGTCGGAATCTGTGTTATTGCGCAAGAGTAATAGAATTATGAGAGTATCATGAACTGTTTTTCTCTCTCCAGAAATGTCATCACTTTTGCCTTCGATGCTGTCGTCGTCATCATTGGTGCTGCCTCCATCATCCTGGTCAGTACTTACCTCTGAATATTCTCCATCCACCTCAACTCCTCCTTCAATGCACACAGATCACAGTAATGTCGTCCCAACTGAGACAGGAGGGTCAGTGCAATCTGAAAGTGACTTGATTTCATCAGCGGGGTTATCTATCGATGACACACAATCGTCAGTATCTTCAGCCGACAGCCCTCTAGTCAGCACTGATACAGCAGGGACATCGTCATTGACAACTCTAACCGATATGTCAACAAGCACCAACTCAGTTTTAACCCCCAGTCTCAACAGCTCCTCTGAAGTTTCGGAAACATTAGTGCAGTCATCGATGTACGATAGTGGACATGACATCATGCCCTCTACCACATTCTCATCCCCACAGTCCCAAGAAACCACTGTATCTCATAGAAGTACAGGATCCAAAGACAGCATAGGGCTCAGTGATAGCCCAGACTCCAGTTTCAGTCCAGATTCCTCTACATTACAACCAACGATATCAGGAACGGATACAAATCCAGAGTCGAGCAGCATAATCCCAATGACTACTCAAGCAGATACTTCATCGGTTACTGGTCCCACTAATGAAACCGATAACATGGAAACTCAAAGCGAACGTAATACGTCTTCTTCTCCTGGAGCATCTTCAAATTATACAGAAAGAATCATGTACACCACAACGATTATCCCCGATTCAAACCCTGAGAGAGGTGTCTTTGAGATCTGCAGGTGCTCCTGTATTCCTGAGAACCGACTCAATGACCTCGCGGTTGAATCAGTCGACGAAAAGACAAGGGAAATTAAGGACAAACTGCTTCTTGACAGAAGAAACTTGACGAAGACCATCATAAAATACATCAGTTCTCCAGATGAGCGGAAGTCCTCCACCAGCATCGGCGCCTCAGGTCTGGTGTTGATTGTATTCATTGTGGTGCTCCTACTATCATCCGATCTTCTCACCTTCTTTCAGAACAGAAGATATCAACGAAAAACATTCCAAGAATAGACAGAAACCATATTTTTTAAAACATCATCCTTTTTGAAATTACAAAGAATTAATATAAATGGTGTAAAAATGTGACCCAGAAAACATGATTCGACGCAAACAGAATTTGTTTCATTATTGTTCTGCCTTTTTCACCCAGTGTAAATGGGGTGCTAATCGGGACTCCTTTTCATCCGACGTTGAGCTTCAGTTTACGGTTACTTTCCACTGTAATATCACCGTGTTGCCTTCTTCTGTGTTGTATTATAACGGGGATCGAGTGGACTGATTTTGACATGTGCATATTGACGTTTTGAATAAATTCACACTCTACTGTTTATACAAAATAAAACCCTTGAATATACAAACCAGTTTTCATGAAAATTTCACCTGAGAATAAAACATGTGAAGCATCCCCTACAAATGGGAGTGATCACCACCAGAATTCGTTAGAGCAAGCCTCTTTTGATAGGTATGGGTTGCTGAATATCAGTTCTAACCCAGATCGTCACGGGTAAAAAAGGCTAAAGTATTTCTCTCTTTTTTTTAGTTTGTTTGTTGTTTAACGCGGCACTCGGCAATTTTCCAGTACATGGAGGTGGCCTTTGAATGAACCCGTCAATCAAGTAATCAACATTAAAAGCTTCGGTCTATGACCGATTCTGATCACCCGACCCTGTCAGTCGGTTCAGCAGCATTGGTTGCTGAAGATGATCCGGATCTTCACGGGTGAAAAGGCTAAAACAATACACAATTCAGGATCTACATTTTTATGTAGCGCATCTTGCTATCATTTTTCCTATAAGTACATGTAACTTTTTGTAGTCATTTGAAACATTATAAATTTAGTCATTTGAAACATTATAAATTTACGCACTATATTTTTGTAGGATATTAACAGGTATGAATATCTTATGTTTATTCAAAGGAACGATAATATAGGAGTTTTGTTTTGTAAACACGTACAGGGAAACAATTGCTGGAGTCCTACAGAACTGAGACGCTTGTTTATTCTGTTCCGTGTCGACTTTCAAACTGAAACAATGCCCAGATATCTATACGGAAGAGAATTCAGTATAAACCTGCAAACAACAAAGGCGTGGTGCACAATTGCTATTTGGTTTATAAACCTTACAGATCAATACAAATCCAAGTAATTACAATGGTGGTGAAGGACGTCAGTACAACGTGTAATGGCATTATTAAATGCAATACAAATGATAACAGCTATAACGTCAGTGTTAATACTATTCAATGGGCAGCAGTTCCAATCTGGTCACATTTCCATTAGGCAGTCATACATGTCTGACAACTGATTTCGTTACAACAAAAATGCTATGAACGTCTACTGAATCACAACAAAAATAAAGCCATACAATCATAACGTAACAATGAATTACTCTGCCTTACAACAATATGACCCCTTTCATTGAGATACAGAAATAATACGACCTTTTCAATAACAGTAAAGACATTGAGCAGTGAGTCGTGATACTCAGGTTAAATTTCATCAGACTAGTTAACGTATTGTAACTGCAAATACTACACATTCCAAACATAAATGTTGTAAACGCTTTTACATTGTCAGTTATCATGAAGTTGTAATATAAAAAATGAATTTACATAGTTGTGTTGTATAGTTTAGCAATATTTAATTTGCACTGAGACCAATCTGTAATTTACCTAACAAATTCAGTTGATCAACATTTATTTATATCTTTAGGGGTAACTGCTAACCCCCCGACAACTGCCCCTGGCTATTTGCCCCACCCCCTAACTGCCCCCGGACAAGTGCCCCCATCAAAGTGTGACACACCCTCCCCATCTTGATAGGATTTATTAAACTCAATTATGAAAACAATGTGTTGAGTTGTGATTAAGATAACAACTTAAGTAAGATAACAACTTACCTATATTATATCAACAAACAGTTAATCCCATCGCCCCTAATAATGCTGGTATATAAGCATTCAGGAAAAGGTGTCCTGCCAGTCATTTTACAATCATGGAGTGGATTCCAAGTCAGAGAGGGAAGGATAAGTTAGCTTTAGAGGGAGTCTTGTATGTTCACCAGAAAGAGTTACAAGGTGGAGTTAACTTCTACCTTACATACTTAGAATATTATCTTCCCCTTCTACCCTTCATTACTGGACAAAGAAACAGATACTGAACACATGTCTGAAAGCTTGTATGTGCATAATCTTAGGAACAATCTCTCTGTTATTTGCAGTATATTTATTCACTAAACAACTTCATTGGTTGAAGAATATAGGAAGAAAACGTTCATTTCTCCGACGGTAGACACGTGATTCATCACTGAACCAGACTTGCCTCCAGTTTCTAGTTCCAGTTCCGCAAGCGATTGTGCCGATGGAAGTCTCTCAAAACAGGGACGAAAACTGGCCGAATCCCCACTTCACACCATCGATTCCAGACAGTTTGGTCGGAAATTGTTCTCAAACCAGGGAAGTGTTGTGCAGTCTCCACGATCGGGCTTGGGTGGAAACTCGCCCCCCTCCCACGTGTTATTGCTAGAAATTGCTAGAATCGGCGTAAAACTAAACTCACTCAATCACTTATGACTGTTGATTGAGGTAGTTATAAAGGTAATGAAATGAGAAGGACACCATACAAGGATTTCAGGCTGTAACTGTTTAACTGCGTAGACCATACTCAAGATAGTTTAAGAAAGCGACAAAATCATTTCCAGTTTCATAAGAAAACTCTTCTGAAAGCGATTGTACGATTCCAACTGTATCATCCGCATTTGTTTATGAAATAGTGATGACACCAGGTGTTCACTAAAAAGGTGATCCTATCCTGCCCCACAAACACATGCAAAGACAAGTAACTTTTTCATCTGAAAACCACAGGTACAGGTGCTGGTAAAAGTTGCTGAAAACCACAGGTACATGTGGTGGTAAAAGTTGCTGAAAACCACAGGTACAGGTGCTGGTAAAAGTTGCTGAAAACCACAGGTACACGTGCTGGTAAAAGTTGCTGAAAACCACAGGTACATGTGTTTGTAAAAGTTGCTGAAAACCACAGGTACATGTGCTGGTAAAGTTTCTGAAAGCCACAGGTACAGGTGTTTGTAAAAGTTGCTGAAAACCACAGGTACATGTGCTGGTAAAGTTGCTGAAAACCACAGGTACATGTGGTGGTAAAAGTTGCTGAAAAACACAGGTACAGGTGTTGGTAAAAGTTGCTGAAAACCACAGGTACAGGTGTTTGTAAAAGTTGCTAAAAACCACAGGTACATGTGGTGGTAAAAGTTGCTGAAAACCACAGGTACATGTGGTGGTAAAAGTTGCTGAAAACCGCAGGTACAGGTTTTGGTAAAAGTTGCTGAAAACCGCAGGTACAGGTTTTGGTAAAAGTTGCTGAACACCACAGGTACAGGTGCTGGTAAAAGTTGCTGAAAACCACAGGTACATGTGCTGGTAAAAGTTGCTGAAAACCGCAGGTACAGGTGCTGGTAAAAGTTGCTGAAAACCACAGGTACATGTGGTGGTAAAAGTTGCTGAAAACCACAGGTACAGGTGTTGGTAAAAGTTGCTGAAAACCACAGGTACAGGTGCTGGTAAAAGTTGCTGAAAACCACAGGTACAGGTGCTGGTAAAAGTTGCTGAAAACCACAGGTACACGTGCTGGTAAAAGTTGCTGAAAACCACAGGTACAGGTGCTGGTAAAAGTTGCTGAAAACCACAGGTACAGGTGCTGGTAAAAGTTGCTGAAAACCACAGGTACAGGTGCTGGTGAAAGTTGTTTGTCTGTTGGCCACTTGAAAAGTGACGCAGATACAAGACAAGATCGATGAAACAACTTCATAACCATTTGTGAGTGAATCAGATTATTTTTTAAACGTTAATGTTGTGTGTTGACTCATGGTTGCAGCCAGGCGACCGATGTTTTCTGTGACAAACAGTGATATGTAAATACACCATGCATTGACACAGATACAACTGTGAAAATCGATTTAGCCACAGACCTATGCAAAGTTTATTTCTCTGATCAAGTAGCACCTTCATGTTGAAAATACCCGTAAACGCAAGCGTATTATTGTTTGTCTAGATTAGATAGCGGAAGGGAACAATGGAGGGAGGGTAGAGGTAGGATCGATGTCGATTTACAATTATTTACCATGGTAACATCTGCCTCATTCTGTAGGTTCTGTCTCATCAGTTGTTACATCTGGTTTCATGGCAGTCCTTGTCTGTTGACAACAGGGGAGAGGGGGAAGAAGGTGTAATTTGAGAGGTTCGGAAATTTGAAAAAGTAACCCCAGATATAACACATGTTATCACAGATAAAAAGTGCTCGTTTCATATATCTGAATAAATAACCTTGTTTAGAAGCAAATGTTAACAGAGAAGGCGCCTTTGTAAGACACCTAAGATGAATGAGTAGTTGAATGTTGTTTAACGCCGCTTTGAAGGTTATTTACAACTTGACTACCATTAGATAGGCCTTTGTTATGTTTACCACTTTGATGGACCAACGAGCACGGTCATGCAGGAACAAAACGGGATTGGAACCCTCTCTACTACCCCTCTAAGGAAAGGCAGCGGATCCTGAATCTACCGTATCTCGTTCATTGGAAACGCCGTTGGACACGCACGACACAGAAGTGAAACACATCCCTTATTAACGAAAGGCACGACTTCATCACATGATTGTTTTGTACACAACATTTCACGAATATATTTAGTTCGTGAGTTCTCATCCAAAACGGAACCATTTCCCAGTATGAACCCAATTGACGTTTAACAGGTTAACATTGATGTTTAACAGGTTAAAAATGCCACTCAAGCAAGTTTAACAGGTTGCCTTGATGGTGCAAAGAACTGTCAATGGCACTGTAAAACGTCAAGGCCAGAGCATAACCAGTCTCGACTACATGTGACTGTAAAGCAAACAGCGGTGGCAAATTTATGAATGGATTACAAAAATTATCAGCAGTGACACCATTTGTTCGGAGAAAGGGGTAAGCATGACCAGTTCTTACAGTACCACCAGGTGTTCGGAGAAAAGGGTAAGCATGACCAGCTCTTACAGTAACACCAGGTGTTCGGAGAAAAGGGTAAGCATGACCAGCTCTTACA